AAACATTTTATCCTGCTCCCTCCTCCCTCCCAAGTAAAACCTGCTTCTCCCTCATCTCAGCAAATAGCACTCCTATTTACCTCATTGCTCAAATTGAAAACCTCACAGTCTTCTTGACCTCTCTCATTCTTTCATGCTTCTCATCCAGTCCATTAGCAAATCCTATCATATCTGCTTTCAGATTATATCCTGGATCTACGTAGTTTTGTCTTCCTCCATCATTACCGCTCTATTCCAAGTCACTATCATCCTGGGCCCAGTCTATTGTGACAGGCTCTGACTCGTTTTCCTACCCTTGCCTGACTCAGTGTGTTCTCCACATAGCAGCCATACGATCTGTTAAAACATAAGTCAGATCATGTGGCTCCCCTATGCGAGGCCTCCAATACACCTTGTGTAAGGTCTAATTTTCTTACCGTGACCTTCAAGAACCTATGTAATCTGGCCCTTGCTTGCTTTTTAGAATTCCTCTCCTATCACCCTGACCCTTTCACTGTGTTCCTGCTACACTGGCTTTTTTTTTTTTTTTTTTTTTTTCCATTAGGCAATCCCATCACAAGGCCATTTCCCTCATTTCAGTCTGGTCTCTGCTCAGAGAGGAAAGCCTGGATGCTCTTTAAGACAACATATATACAACCCCCACTCCACCACTCTCCTACCTTCTTACCCTGTTGCAATTTCCTCCATTCATACTTACATCTAGGTAGCATTCTACTATATATTTATTTATTTGCTTACTTATTGTCCCTATTCTCCACTAGAATGAGAGCCCCTTGAGGGCAGGACCTTATCTGTCTTCTCTGCTATATCTCCAGTTCTGTTTAGAACAGTGCTTAGCACATCATTAACGCTAAGCATTTAACTGAAGTAATGAATTTTCACAGGGACAACAGATGAAATCCCAAGGATAGCCACCAACATTAAAACAAAAGAGGGCAAAGGGCAAATCTTTGGGGAAATATTTAAATCCAGGGCAAAAGAGGCCCTCTGAAGGAAGTGACATCTCAGCCCCAGTTAACTAGGCAGGAAGAGAACACAGCATGCCTTGGGGAACCCCCCGCCCCCCCAGAAAGGTGTCAGCTGCACTCATCTCTCTGCCCCAACTCTAAGAACGTTTTCAAACAGCAAACCTGAGCACACACCAGAAACCTGGATGGGTGTGACAGCTCAGCCTCTCAGCCCCAAGGGGTGCTCTTTCCTGTTATTCTGAACAGCTCCTTTAAAAGAGCTTCAAACCAGAATCCCAAGGCCACAGCATTGTCTTAGCCTCTGAGCTGTGACAAAGCAGCAGCTCCAGAACACCCTGGGAATCGGCCGGCGTGGGCAGCTTGTGGCTTTCCTTCAGAAGTCAAGGCGTGCCTCGTAAGAAAACAAGTCAGATGCTAGAGAGTGACCTCTTTTATTAGGTTCACCATCTTCACCACAGAGAGACCATAGTGTTTGTCCATAGCCTGAAATACTCAAAGGCCATAGTGTTGAAAAGAGGGTGAGCCTTCAGGTCTCTTTGTCGCCATTAATCCTGGTCCCTGCTGGTCTCTCCTTTTTGCATCAGAAAAGCTTTCTTGTATTTTTTTTTTTTTTTAATAGGGGGAGAAAACAGCTGTGTGGGATTTGAGAATGGGATTTTAATGGTCACTGAAGACACACAAAAGCTTTGCTGTGATCGTGAAGTGTTCTGGGGGCAATTGACTCCTTTGTCTGGGGCAGCAAAACAAGCTGGCTGCTGGAGGAGAAAAGAGAACCAACTGGAACGTGTGATTGAGGCCTCTTTAGGCCAGATCTTCAGCACATTTGCAAAAAGCTGTTTTCAGGCATCTCTTCATGACATTCAGCATCACTTTTTACTGTTTAGCTCATTTTTCCCTTGTGAAAGAAACAAATTAATTTGGAAGGTGCTTGGCAGGAATTATTTCTGTAGGTCTTTCTGGAAGGAAAATGGAAACTGTGAGTGACAATATGAGTTTGTTTGTGTGAAGCAGGCCTTTCACTGGGAGAAAAAAGAACCAGTGCCCTCTTTTCTGCAGGGCAGCCCAAGGGGCCATTTCTCAGCCCTTTGCTCAGTTGGAAAATTGCAACAGATGTGGGACATTGTGAGGCTTCTCAAAATGTAATCTTGAAAGGGCTTTGGGGGTTTTAATTGTTCTAAGGAAGAGTGGAAACCCAGAGCAGCAGGAGCCCATCCAGTTACTCATTCCAGTGAGAACCAGAGCCATTCCTGTCCATCCATGGAAGGGATCCGTTTTCCAGGGCAACTGTGATGGAACAGACTGTGCTGATCTGACTCAAAGTTATGATTCTTGGGGCTTTGAAATCATTGCTGCCGTCTGGTACTTTCCGTCTAGGCACATGCATGTTACAGAAATGGAAATGGCTTGGTTGGAGGGAATCCGGACAGACAGCCCAGGTTTTATTTACTTTCTGCCAGACTTCATGACAGTTGACTTGGTAGAGCCATGAAGGAGTTACTCTGTCACTTACTGGCCTGCTGTAGGCCCATCCTAGGTCAGTCAGGAGGGACACAGGATAAGAAGTCAGGAATTCCCAGTACATAATCCAGCACCACTTTTCATGGGAGATGAACTGAAACCAGAGTCATTATGGAAGCCTCTATCCAGTGGTTCTCCTATTCGAGAATTAGGTCTGGAATTATAGACTCTGTCAGCCACATATCTGTACATTAGACTCATTATAACATTTGCCAGGAAAGCAAGAGAGCTTGGTTCACTTTCAACTTTAAAAAAATATGATAAAATTAAATAAAATGATACTATGAATGTTATCAAAGACAATCCAAACAATATAAAAAAGTATTAAAAATTTGAATTTAGAGTATACTTTATTGATTGATGACATTTAATTGTAGAAATAATATTTGAAATATGGTATATTTTGGCTTATTATGATTTAGAAAAAACCTCATTTAGGTTTTTTTTTTCTTTTTTAGATTTTGGAGTGAATAATGAAAAGACATTTTTATTAATGGTAATAGAGAGCCTTGCCATGTTTAACCCTAAAAGTATAAATGCAAATTGCATGAAAACAGATATTCCTCCTCACAGACATTGAAGAGATATGATAGCTAATTTTATCATGTGACATTTTATTTTCTATTTCTTAGCAGCTTCAGTAGAAAAGAGAATGTGTTGAGGTGCCTAGGTAGCTCAGTCGGTTGAGCATCCAACTTCGCCTCAGGTCATGATCTCATGGTTGATAGGTTCAAGCCCCATACTGGGCTTTGCACTGACAGCATGGAGTCTGCTTCAGATTCTCTGTCTCCCTCTCTCTCTGCACCTCCTCCCACTCATGCTCATTTGTGTGTGCACTCTCTGTCTCTCCCTCTCTCTCCCCTTCTGTCTCTCACAAAAATAAGTCAACATTAAAAAAGAGAGGGGGGCCTGGGTGGCTCAGTTGGTTAAATGTCTGAGTCTTGGTTTCAGCTCAGGTCATGATCTCATGGTGTGTGGTTTCGAGCCCTGAATTGGGCTCTGTGCTGACCGCAAAGAGGCTGCTTGGGATTCTCTCTCTTTCTTTCTCTCTCTGCTCCTCCCTTGTGCTCTCTTCCCACCATCACCCCTCAAAATAAATAAATAAATTTTAAAAAGAGAGAGAGAGAGAGAATATGTTTATTCTAGTCAAGGTCCCCTAATGCCACATAGAGAATCCTTGGGAAAGGCTTGAATTATGATTCCACACTTTTGTTAGAGAACTTTCTTCCCCTTAAATCCAAGACTCTTAATCTCACTGTAGGTGTATTTCATAGACTATCTGTGGGACCTTGGCCAAATTATTTCACGTTCTTAAGTCTCTATTTCTGTAAAATGTAGTTAAAAATAGTACCTAACTCCTTAGGGTTGTTAGATCCTAAGGGTTGTGTTTGTTTGTTTCTTTGTTTGTTTGCTTGTTTTTAAGTAGGCTCCATGCCCAAAGTGGAGCTTAAACTCATGACCCTGAGATCAAAAGTCACATGCTTTACTGACTGAGCCAGCCGGGCACCCCTATAGGGTTGTTTTGGGGGATATGAGATAATGTACGTAAAGATTTGGGCATGGTTAACAGGAGATATTAAGTACTTAGTAAATGTTAGCCATTAGAAAGGCTATTTTGATGGTTATGATGATGTTTGAATATTATATTAAAGAACCCAATTAAGCATATTTATTTTATATTTATATTCTAAAATAATATATAAATCTATATTTAATAACTAATAATACCAGAAATAAAGTCAGAAGCATAGTTTATTAATTTCCTTGTAGTTTAGTCTTTCAGGAGACATTTACCATGGTTTCCTCTTTATAATATATTAATTTGATTACAAACATGAAGCGTGCTATGTTGGAGAGCTTATTGGTAAGACTTTTGAGATCACCCTCCTCACAGCCACCAGAGAGTGAATGTTTCAATGGTTCCTCTACCTGAAGAATAAAATCCAAATGCCTGGCATTCAAGAATTTTTAAAATCTATCCTAAACTTCCTTTCTTCCCTCTCTTCCTATATGTCAAGCATGACCTTTTATGACCTGCCCCCTTTTCTTCCTGGGGAGATCCTATTCATCCTTTAATGTCGCACACAGATGTGGCCTCTAGGAAGCCTTCAGGGATGCCATCAGCCAGAATTAATAGCACCCTCGTTTCTATTCCTTTAGCACTGGGCCTATGTTCAGTGAATGATTTTCACTTTATAATCCTTCTGACAGCTCTGTGAAATAGGAAAAGTCATCAAGTGCTTGTGCTCAAAGATAATTAAGACCACTGTAATCCCTGCTTCCAAGGAGTTCATGGTCTAGGGAAAGAAAACCTGTAAACACCTCTAACAGTGGGCCATAGGGATCATGGCAGAGGGGTGTGCACAGAAACCCCAAAGGTGGCACACATTCCGTATTCAGGGGTTTGTATGAAGGAGTGTGGGGTCAATGCCATCTGTTTACTGTTATCTCTAGCACTCTTCCTTTCTTGGCCTCTGTCCCCTCACTGACCAGATCATTTCCCACTTTGGCTAGTCAGTTGCAGGGCTGGGACATATTATGATGGAGCACAAGAACGCTGCATTTTATGTCCAAATGGAACCTTCCAAAACGAGGAAGGACAAATCACATGTGAACCGTGCCCAAGACCAGAAAATCCAGGAGCCCTGAAGACTCCAGAAGCTTGGAATATATCTGAATGTGGAGGTAAGGGTTCCATCTGCTCCTTCTTATTCCTCCGGTCTCCAATATTGCTTAGATGGAAGGTGTTAAGTAACGTTTCAGTGCAGACAATGCATACTGCACCATGGGCTTCCTATGGGCAGGGACCACACTGGGTTTATCTTTGGCTCAAGTGCCTACCTTGGTGCCCAACACATGCTGGGGTGATGCTCACTTGGACAAATAAATGAAAAGTTGATAGAAGGCATTGTCAGAAAAGAAGGTGTAAGTGTTGCTAATGCACACTTTACTCACTATAAATAAATATACCTTGACACCTGAATGATCTCCCAGTGTGTAGTGTTACAGTGGAGAAAGTTGTTCTCACTGTTTGTCCAGTTTTGGTCTCAAATTCATACTGTATTGATTTTTAAGGAGTAACCATTTGGTGACTTTGTTAAAACTCTGTGAAGAGTTTTTCATGTCCCTTATGTTAACTCTAGAGCCAGGTTGATTTAGATTTTTGTGGGTTTATTTCCTATTTATTTTATTAATAAAATAATTTGATTTTTGATTTTTGATTAAGTGGCCAGCTGTATTGATGCTCTGTGGGCTCACATAGAAGGTGTGATCTGACACGGCAGTTTGTAGGTGATGTCTGTGGTGGAGAGCAGGTGGCCCCTGCCTCTCCTCCCAGTGACTCCCAGAGTCAGCTTTAGTTCCCACCTACATGACTCCAGACTCAACTGTGGGATCTTTCAAAGGGTTTAAAAATCAGAGCCTTAGACTAACTGCGTGACTCCTACCATATCTTTGGCCTGTTATGAAATCCTAGGACCAACTGTGGGTTGATAAGGAAGCACTTTGGAGCATCTATTTATACTTGTATGTGACATTATTAAGATATATTTATAATAATAATGTTAGTAGCAATTATAATAATAATAATTGCTAACATTTATTGAGTACTTACCTATGCCAGGCATAGGCAAAGTATATTACATGAATTAGTCCTCTGCTTGTTGTATCACTACAACAACTTTATGAGGGTCAGGTAATTCACTGAAGGTCACACAGCCAAAGAGTGGAGGATCTGGCATCAGAACATAGGTCTGACAGATTCCAGACTCTTCCCCTGGGTGTGTGTTCATTAAATGTCATTATATCTAGAACTTATAGGTAGAAAGAAGACTGTGAAAATTAATAAGGGAGAGATCAGCAGTACAAGAGTCAACAGATTTTCATAATACCTTGGCAATGACAAGCTAATTCCTAAAGAACATGTGCTTTTAGAAATCCTTTGGTTTATGGCTGTGCTTCTTGCCATAAACTTAAAAAATAATAAAGTAAGGTGCTTAAAGTCCCTCTGGTGCTTAAAGACCCACTGGGTCCCTCTATCAATGTGGATTCGATTGGTTGGATTTAGTAGGGGGAGTCCAGGGCACACTCTAGTGTAAGATGTAACTTAGTGTATATAATTGATAAAACAGGGAGACTCTTTCTTTCATGACCAGAGAGTCTTTATATCACTAGGATGTAGCAGCTGGGTAAGAGTGTACTTCTGGGACAGATTACCGGATTGATTCCAGAGCAGAGAACCCTCTCTGGGGGCTCCTGCATTGCAGGGGCTATCTGGGTACTGTGTAGTCCTAAGCCTTAAGCAAATGCAGGCCTCACCCCAACTTTGGAAGCAGTTAACACTTGGCTCCTTGGTCTCCATCTTGGCACAATGCTTTGTAGCTCTGTGTGTAAACATCAAGCACTCACATGCCACCTACTCAGGGTCAGTGGCAGGGCAGGAGAGGGCTCATCTCACAGAGGTGGGAGCTCAGGTCAGCATAGGGCAATAGGTCTCACCAAGTTCTGAGCTCATCTACAGAAAGATGGGAAAGGGTCTGACCAGGGGGCCTTGCTCACTTAGGGTCATTGGTTTCCCCAGGTCTGTGCCAACCCGGTGAATATTCTGCAGATGGTTTTGCACCCTGCCAGCTCTGTGCCCTGGGCACATTCCAGCCTGAGGCCGGCCGTACTTCCTGCTTCCCCTGTGGAGGAGGCCTCCCTACCAAACATCTGGGAGCCACTTCCTTCCAGGACTGTGAAACCAGAGGTGAGGACTTGGCAGCTTGCTTTTTTCCAGAGCTGAATTTCCCTTTTGAGAACCGTGGGGGTCTGGTAAAGCTCCTATCAAGCCCAGCCCAGAGGTGCCTTGTGTGGTGTCCCAGTAGCTGAGAGGTCAGGTCCCAGCACCATCCACTCCTGCAGGATATACAAGGAGCATGGGAACTCCCTAGATGTGGTCTCCCCTAGCCACCTGGCCCCCTTCAGACAGGGCTGACTGGTCTGGGAGAGGTGAACAGGTTTTATGCAACAGGTTCTTGGCTCCTTCTTTCCAGCCTTCCTCCCTCTCAGCCCCCTCCCTGGCCCCCCTCCCATATAGGTCCTGCCCTTCCCCAGAGACCCACTGCCACCTCTCCCAGGACCTGGCATCAGTTAAGCACCCTCACAGCTCACAAGCGTGCTTTGCATGAGAACTCAGGCTGTGCTCATTTATGCCTGACTCTGCATGGACTGTAAACTCTTTGAAGATACACCCATACTTTGTTCCCTGTGTATTTTGCTCAGTGTCGTGAGTCACAGGTCCCACCCAAGCTGGCTATTTAGGGAATTAAGTGTTGATTAGCCCCAGATTAGTAGGAAAGCAGTACTTCATTTGGGCATACACATTTATTTCACCAACTGTGAAAACTTTTATGTGACCGTTGATGAAAACACAATTTTTTTTCATTTTCTCCACCCTCCCCCGACCCCACAGTTCAATGTTCACCTGGACATTTCTACAACACCACCACTCACCGATGTATTCGTTGCCCAGCAGGAACATATCAACCTGAATTTGGAAAAAATAATTGTGTTTCTTGCCCAGGAAATACTACCACTGACTTTGATGGCTCCACAAACATAACTCAATGTAAAGGTAGGTCTCTCTAAGGCTTTCACAGTCTTGACCAAGAGGGAGGTGCCTGGGTCCACCTGGGACTGGGGGGGTTGGTGCAGGGGTCCCAGGTGCCTTGAGAACCATGAGGACACGGTTAACCCAGCTCACGCACTGCAGGTCAGCACCGAAGGAGAGCCAGGCTTGGCTCCCAGGTACTTACTTGTGTTGATCCTGGCTACTTCTCTGGGCACATTGACAGGCTATGCTTGCTGAAATTTCCTCCCACAAGCAGAGTTTCAGTTCAGCAAACATTGTTTGAGGACCTGTCAAATGCGAGGCCCTCCAAGCAGAAGTCCCTTGCCCTGCAGGCAGCACAAGCTGTAGGATTGAAGAGGAAAGAGCAATTAACTCTGCCTAGAGAGATGAGGGAAGGCTTCTGGAAGGCATGAGAAGGTTTTGATGGAGAGGGTGGGGGGAGAGCAGGAGAAAGAGCTTTATACCTGAGACCACAGCTGGAAGGAAACACACACTCAGAAAAATGAAAGGCTTTTTGAGAGACCCCCTGGACCTGGATCATGGAATGTCTGAGTGGAATCTGAGGCAGAACAGGAAGGGAAGCCTTGAATGCCACACAAAGGAATTTTATTTGTGTCCTGTAGGAATGGGGAGCAGATCATTCAAGGACTTGTTGTATATTTAGCTGGTTGGTTGGTTTTTAACCATTATGTAAAATTCTCCAGTAAAGGTCAGAAGTGAATCTCAGCTGACTCATTGTCATTAACACAGTGGTGTAGGGGAGCAAGGAGGCCTTCCCATACTGGAGGAGTTTGGGATTGAAGTTCACAGTGTTAGAAAATTCTTCCCTGTACCCAGATGAAATCTGTTTGCTTGTCTCCTATCCCCAACCCTTCATTGGCCCTTAGGAGCCACACGGCACGGATCTTCAGGCTGTCCTTCAGACTTGAAGCTGAGTCCTTCTCAACTCCATGGCTCTCCCCACTCCACCCCCTTCCAAGAAGAAATTTTTTCTAGTGGGAATAATAATTCACAGTTACAGGGCACCTGGGTGGCTCAGTTGGTTGAGTGTCCGACTTTGGCTCAGGTCATGATCTCATGGTTCATGGATCCAAGTCCCACATCGGGCTCTCTGCCTACAGCATGGAACCTGCTTTAGGATATTCTGTCTCCTTCTCTCTCTGCCCCTCCCCCACTCACACTTTCTCTCTCAAAAATAAATAAACATTAAAAAAAATAATTGCCAGTTACAATTAGAGAGGAAAAAAATAGTCCCTTCGACATCCTCTCCTGCACAGGTGCACCTGACAATTTTATACAATAAGCCCCTTGAGGGCAAGGACTGTGTCTTTCTCATTTCTGAACTCCCAGAGCTTTTGCTAACATTTATTGGATAAATGGAGATTCAATGGCTGAGGTGTGTGTGTGTGTGTGTGTGTGTGTGTGTGTGTGTGTGTGCGCACGCGAGTGCTCCTGATCTTTGCTCCCGGAGGTGAGTATCCAGCAAGCCCCATATTGACTGAGACCTAATTGGAATTTTCTTCTACACCAAAAGTAAAATGTGGTCTTGACCAGAAGGAAAAGAGAAAGAATATGGCTATCATAAATTCATCAAGGTCTCTAGGAAAGGGTCACCATATCCTCTAGTTAGCGGTCAGCTCTGTTCTCCCTATTTTTAAAGACCTAGAAATTCTATGTCATGGGTTCCCCTGGCACCTAGACTTTGTAAGCAAAATATTGAAAACTAAATTCATCCTTTGTTTCATGAGTGCCTTCCTCTGATCTTGAGCACCTTCAAGTTAAAGAGAAAATGGTAACTCAGAGGGGAACTCAGTGGGGTGAGCTCTGTGTGGGGAGTTAGTGTAGTTAGGCTCCCACGGGCGACCGTAGGCATTACAGGACACATTAATTCCTGGGATGGTGCCATTCCTCAATGGCAAGAGGATGCAGTGGTTCTCCTCGTTGAGCTGCTGGTGGCCATGACAGAATGATGAAAATGCTGTGCCTTCATAACTCATGGCATTTCCTCTTCCAGACAGAAGATGTGGAGGGGAGCTGGGAGATTTCACTGGATACATTGAATCCCCAAACTACCCAGGCAATTACCCAGCCAACACGGAGTGTACATGGACCATCAACCCGCCGCCCAAGCGCCGAATCTTGATTGTGGTCCCTGAGATCTTCCTGCCCATAGAAGATGACTGTGGAGACTACCTGGTGATGCGGAAAACCTGTGCGTCCCCTCTCTCCCCTCCCCTCTAAGGCTAGCGTGGAAGCCTGCTGGCATGCTCCCCAGCTTTAAATGTGAGCAGCAAGGCTAGAGTGTCACCTCTGTATTAGAACAGAGATGGGACATGAGTTTATAGTGTTTGCCAAGAAACAAAATTTAGACAAACCCAACTTGAGGCCTCTTGCTGAATCCCAGAGGTAGTGATTCTGCAGGTCAGTCTCCCCCCCGGGCTCGCCGGGGACCCTCTTCCACAACATCACACAGAGCCAATGAAGCTCATGGAAGCCAGGCCCCAGACCGTTGTCTCACTGTGGGAAGCCACTCGTGGCTTTGGGACTGACTGAGGCTAAAGTCATAGTCCAGCCAGGAGGGACCCTCCTCCTATTCTGACGCATGACCCAGTGCCCATTAAGGGACACTGCCAGCAACACAACTTCAAGGCAGTGTAGTGAGTGAGCTCAGCAGCCAGACTGCCTAGACCTGAACCCAGCTTCACCTTTTGTTAGTTCCGTGATCTTGGACATACATTCTGATTCTTTCTGCAACTCCTTTTTCTCATCTGCTAAAATGGGGATGATAATAGTTGCTACCTCATAGGGTTATCATGAGGAATAAATGACTTCATGTACATAAAGCACTTAGAATAATAATGACACATGGAGCCATTGTGTTTGCCACTCTTATTAGTGGTTACAGTGTCTGAAGTCAGGTGTGGGTTTGAATTCTGAGCTATCCACATACTGGCTCTGTGACCCTGGGCAAATGCTTAAACTCTGTAAATGAGTTAACAGTGGCACTGACTTCCTATGGCTTTCAGAGGATTAAGTGAGATAAAGTCCATAAAGTGCATAGTGCACCACCTAGTCTTTGGGAGCATGTGGGGATTGGGGGTGGTTATTGCTGGATGACAGCAGGTAGCTCTGGAATTAGACGGCCTCTCCTTAGCCCCTGCAGTGAGCACCGCAGCCTGGGCTGCTGTTGTTTGCCTAGCCATGGGCATTTCAGTTAGCCTTCCCTGGGGGCTTGCAATCACCAGTGGAGTCCACTCAATTCCCAGGACTTTGGCTCCTATGAGCTGAGCCCAAAGAGCTCTGGAGCATAACTTGTTTTACGGTGTTTTCCTTTGAAACAATGAGTGTTCATTGTCTGCTGCTCAGGATGAGTCCTGAACCTTGCCCTCTCTAACTTCCCTTGGCAGCTTCATCAAATTCTGTGACAACATACGAAACCTGTCAGACCTATGAACGCCCCATCGCCTTCACCTCCAGGTCAAAGAAGCTGTGGATTCAGTTTAAGTCCAATGAAGGGAACAGTGCCAGAGGGTTCCAGGTCCCGTATGTGACATACGACGGTAAGCGCTGTGAAGCTTGTGCTGCTTCACAGAAGCAAGGAGCTTCTCTGCTTTCGGGAGAACCAACTTCTGGGCCAGCTGGTAGATTGCTGACAAGCACACGTGCTCAGAAAGGCAGGTGGAGTAAGGAGAAAGGACACTGCTGACTCACATGTGTCAAATTTTAAACAAGCATTTGGGGACACTGACTACAGGGATGAAAAGATGTTTTAGAAAATAAGTAAAAGTGAGCATGGCTTGGTGGGGAAGCACATGGGCCAGCCTCGACCTAATCTCTTCAGTGACTTCGTGTATGTTACTTACCATCTCTAAGTCTCATGTTCTTAATGTGTAAATGATGATAATCATTAGATCTAACATGGCAGTTAAATGCGATAATCCACAAAGGACTTGGTGCAGTGCCAGGCACATAGTAAATGCTCAGTAAATACTAGCTAATTATGACTGTGACTTTCATTACATGGAATCCTGAGGAGCAAGGGAGAAAGACCCAAGTTCTGGTCCTGTCTCTGCTACTAATTTGCTGTGCAATTTTGGGCAAATCAGATGAGTTCTCTGGTTTCATTTGCTTCTTGTTAGGTGAAGGGGTGCCCCGTGTGAGCTCTGGGGGCCTACCTGGGTCTGGGACTTGGTTGATAAACATTTACTTAAAATACAAAATGCACTGGAAAGAATACAGCAAAATCTCAAGAGATTTGGGCCTTGAAAGAACATATCAGTTGTGTGTGTGTGTGTGTGTGTGTGTGTTTTGTTTTGTTTTGTGTTTTTTTTTTTTTAATAATGGGAAGAACATTAGTTAGAGAGAATGATCTAGGCCAAAGGATAGAGTACCTGGCATGTATGGGGACTGATTAATGGCCTGATTTGGTCAGTTGGTAGGGTGCATGGGGCTTAGCAGTGAGAGATAAGATTAGAAGCGTGTGAAGTTGGGTGGTGAAGGGCCTGGAGTGCTAAACTCAGAAGGGTGGACCTAATCTTACAGGGAGCCATGAGCCATTGAAGGTTTTTACACAAGTGTTGACAGTAGATGTTTTGGACAGATAGTATTCTATGGATTTTATAAAAGCATTTCACATTTATAACATGTTCCAAATCCAGGATTATCAACTCTGTGCCTGAAACCATGCCAAATCCCTCCTGATAAGGGCTCTTAGGATCAGAGCCCTAGGTGGACACAAATGCCTCCCATGTGGCTCTGCTGAGAGAGACAGAACACCTCATCTACCTGAAAGCAAACAACCAACAGCCCCCCTGCCCCCAATCTGGAATCAGTGAAAGAACCAAAAAAGACACAGAGACTCCAGAATAAATATCACTAAAGCTCACATCTTTTTGCTTGGCTGTTCTCAACTCTACCTTTGTAATACATGAAAACACGTTTTTTTTTTTTTTTTTTTTTTTTTCCATTTTCTCAAAGAGTTGTAGCTTGAACCAGGGAAATTACACATAAAGCTGCTGAGGCCCATGAGAGTGTGTCTTACACATGTCACAGCAGATACTAGTTGAAAATTGCTGTTAGTAATATAGAAGCCTTTTAGGTCTTTACTCAGAGCTTATTTCATCTTTTTTTTTTTTTTTTTTTGGAACATATATTTCAGACAAGCTTGATACCTGGTTTCCAAGCCCGGAAGAATAGAAATCACATTTAGAAGGGGCAAGTGAGGCTGCTACAGAGTGGCTTACTGACCACTGGAGGATGGGGAGAACTGTAGTCCCAGCTAACTTGCGCTGAGTATGTGTACTGAGTACCAGGCATGTGCTGAGTGCCTTTGACACCACACAGCCCTCATAATTGCCATAGACACGATTCTTTCCTGATTCTACGGACAAGACCAGTCAGGCTTAGAGATTAACTTAGGCTAACTGGCCTGAGGTCAGGAGGACAAAGTGACAGAGATCTTTGGGACTCCAGGGCCTGAGTTCTTACCTATGACTCTTGACTGCTTTTCTCATGACAGTTGTAGCAAGGGATAAAACACGGTAGTTCTTGATAGTGGAGGGAATGCTTTTAAAAGACAGCAGTCTGGGGTGCCTGGGTGGCTCAGGTAATGATCTCATGGTTCATGAGTTCAGGCCCTGCATCAGGCTCTGTGCTGACAGCGCAGAGCCTGCTTTGGATCCTCTGTCTCCCTCACTCTCTGCCCCTCCCCAGCTTGTACGCTCTCTCTCTCAAAATAAATAAGTAAACATTTAAAAAAGATAGCAGTCTGGGAGCATTTGGTGTGGTGGCAAACAGTGCTTCAGTTCTGTCTTACACTAGGACATGGCACAGCAACTGGTCCTCCTAGTGGTGAACACCCATCATCAAGAGGAGCTAGTTCTCTGAGCAAGAGACTCTGCAACAAAGGAATTCAAGATAAACATGTACTCTTACTCATATTTGATATTCACTAAAGTAGAAGAATAAGAAGGAAGATACCACATGAATAGAGCACCAGTGAGGTTGAACCTATATTAAATTAGTAATCATGAGGACCATACGATAGTTAATAGTTAATAAATTTTCATTAATCACCACTTGACTAGGAGAAACTTTTTCAAGCACCCTTTCCACATAGTTCCAGTGATGTTCTTATGATTTGTTTGGTTTTATTTGTACATGATATGCACACAAAGAGGCATTCTTTTCAGCCTGGAATTTGGAAAAGATTGTGTTTTGCATGTGCTTGGTTTGAATTATGACTAGGAAGTAGGCTAGACTTTGAAAGGCGGGGATTTAGATTTGGAGGCAGCTTACGTTGTGTGCATTGCATTTACTATGTACATCAGCACCAAAAATTAACTAATAAGAAAATGAACATAGCTTTTCTTCCCTCTTTAACCAATAAAATTCTCCCCATCCCCTCCAAAAAAAAAAAAAAAAGAGGAAAAAAGGAAAGAAGAGTCTTGCTTGGTACTAAGAAGCTTGATTGTTTTACATAATACAAGGGCAGAGAGAAAAAAGGGAGGACAGAAGGGAGAAAAGTAGAGAAGAAGAGAAAAGTCCTGAAGCTGGTGAACTCACCAGAGAGCAAGTATAGACGGAAGAGATGAGAACCAAGCTCTGAGCCCTGCGACCCTCCCATAGTAAGAGGTCAGGGAGAGGAGGAAGAATAGCAAAGGAACTTCAGGCAAAGTGACCAGCGAGGTAGGAGGAAAACCTGAAAGCATGGTATCCCAGAAGCTGAGTGAAGAAGTGGATCGAGGAGGAGGGGTGACTAGAGACTGAGTCGACTGAGTTGACTGAGTTGACAACTCAGTTGTCAACTCAGACTGAGTTGACAATTCTTTTGAGTAGTTTTTCAACAAAGAGGGCAGAAATGTAGGATGGAAGCTGAGGGAGAAATGAGGTCAAGGGGGGGACTTTTTTGGGATTGGAGACATAATAACATGTTTACATGCTGATGGGGAAGGCCCAATAGAGAGAGAAGATGTCATCATGTAGGAAAGAAAGGGCAGAAGTACTGGAACAATGCCCTTGACTTGGTGAGAGAAGATGGAGCCAGTGGAAAAAGTGGAGGAAAGGTGTTGACTGGATGCACAGAGGGTTCATCCAAGGGAAGATGGAACAGAAGAGGTGGGTGCAGAGGCTGGTAGGTGAGAGGATGTGGGAGTCTGTGGAAGTTCTCTTCTGATCACCTTCTCAGTATCACAGCGGTCACTATTCTGATAGCAGCTGCAGAAGAGGCATTTCTCAGAACCTTATTTAAAAATGAAAGAAAGAGTGAGTTTGGAAATAACTAAATCCCATGAATGTCAATCATGTCCTTTATTCCAACAGAGGACTACCAGGAGCTCATTGAAGATATAGTTCGAGATGGCAGGCTCTATGCATCTGAGAACCATCAGGAAATACTTAAGGTGAGTACGTAGTGAAGGTGGATGCTGCAGTCACCCATGGCGCTCCCAGGCACCACTGGAGGAAGGTTTTCCTTTTGCTCCATGCTTCCACCTTTCAGACCGCAAGCCTGCTCTGGGCTGAGGTCAGTTTTATATCTTCACCAGACTTAATTAAAAAAAATATTCAGATGGCTTTCTTCAATGTTGTCAAGTGAAACTGTATTTTTTTTTTTTTTTAATTTGGAAATGCGTGGAGGAACAGTGGGAAACTTGCTTACTCTAAATCCAGGCCAGTGGCAAATCGTGGTTCCATGTTCACTCTCCAAATAACTGAATATCATTGACTCCTTGTTTATCCTTCAAGCCTAAAGTCCACCAAATTTTAGATGCTTATAAGTACTTATCAGACACTTGCCATCTCACTAACCCTGTAAATATTCCCCAGATTCCAGTGTTGCATCTCATCTGGTTTAGAAAAAGAAAACCATTTTTTATTTATTACCCTTTCCTTTATAAAAGTAACCCATGTTTTTTGTAGATACTTTGGGAAAATAAATACTGGAAAAGAGACAAAAATCAGAGGAAACAATTTTCACTAAGTGTTTCTCAGCTCAGCAACCTACTGTCCAACACTGGGACATTATAGTTCCATTGGCAAAATGTTGGAATGTTTAAGTATTTTGGCCCAGTAACAAAACTTGTGTTCTTTTTAGGATAAGAAGCTGATCAAAGCTCTGTTTGATGTCCTGGCCCACCCCCAGAACTATTTCAAGTACACAGCCCAGGAATCCCGAGAGATGTTCCCAAGATCTTTCATCCGATTGCTACGTTCCAAAGTGTCCAGGTTCTTGAGGCCTTACAAATGAGCCGGGCCACGTGCCACTCAGTGCCATGATCTGCCTGTGGGCTGCTGGGATGCAGCCATCTGCCTATGCAGCCAACATAGTCGGATATCGCTGCCTCCAGTAGCAGTGACTCATTAGAGTTCAATTTTTATAGATAATACAGATATTTTGGTAAATTGAACTTGGTTTTTCTTTCCCAGCATTGTGGACATGGGCTATGAAGGGCAGTGAGTCCCACCATCTTTCACTGTGGTGGGTGGATGTCTTGGGGACATCAAGGGCTGGCTGAGCTGGACATTAGTCAGCTCAGGTGAGACTCACCTGTCCTTCCTGGTTCTCACTCCTCCTCAAGGGGGCCATGGTGGAAAGGAGTCCACAGAAGGGGCTGCCTTACCTGAAACTTCAGCTTCCTCCTTACAGTCCTCCCTAAGGGAGCCCTCTGCACCTATGCTGTGACCAGGCAGAACAGGAAAGAAGGAAGGGAGGGTGGGAGAGCCCTTCAGGCATCATGCACCCACCTGAGACCAAGGAGGATTCTGTTTCCCCATAGCCTTCTCCAGCCTGTGTGACCAGAGCTTGATCCCAGGACCCTGGGTTCTGAGCAGTGATCATTTAAGAATACTTAAAGCAGAAAGAATTAGAAATAAAAAGATAAAAACTAAGCACTTCCACAGATGTAATAATGTGGATCTATGGACGATGGCCTTCCTAGTTGCCAGCTTCCACTCTGCAGCGAATGCACAGTGCTGGTTTTAGCACCTTCAGCTGTGCCTTCAGATGCTCCACTGGGCCCTGCATCAGGGCCTGGAGAGTTCAGGCCGGATGTGATCTCCTTGGCGGATGAGAATCACCCACTGTTATGAAAAGGAGATTTCACAGATCCTGAGTCACTACTGCCAAGGGTGCTACTTCTCAGTGGGCTTGCCTCCACAGGTGTCTGAGGGCCACGTGGGCCGCTGTGCAGCCAGACGGTTATGTTTGCCTTCCTTGCCCACTCTTCAAGGTCAGGCACTGCCGCAGCTCTGAGGACGTGAGCGGCACCACTAAGGGTGGGCTCGGTCTCTTAGTCACCACACCACCACCAGGAGCAGCTGCACAAATCCCCGTCTCCAGGTACTGCAGAATCACATTTGGTTGGCACAGTGGGGACTCACAATCATTTTCTTCCACAGAATCTTGAATTTTCAACATTACTTAATTTGTAAAAATTTAAATCCATAGGCAAAAATCTCATTACAGTGAAGAAAAAAAGAATCCTATCAAACAAGCTGCCATTTCCCTAATGAATGGGCTGAACTACACACACCTATAGTGTTTTGTTACTTCAGTAACAAACTAACTCTGTACACCAAAGTACGAAAAAATGGTTAGCAAATATTTTTAAAGAAAACAGAGCCTATTGGGAAGCTCTCTTTTCACCTCAGTTGTTGTTTTTTTTAACCTACGTACAACATTGATTAAAAAAAAATACCCTAATCCAAATTTTCTTCTTTATTTGCATGGGTCCTAAATACCCATTTCCAAATTGCTTTTCAAAAATGTGAATACTTTCATTTTTTACAATCATCATCAAAATAAGCACTTGGAGTTTGTCATACAAGGACTTCGCCTACATTTCTGAGTCTCATCATAAGATGAAAATTCAAATGTAATATAACCTGAGTCAGTGACCCGATCCATGTGGAGGAGGGGTGAGCTGAACTGTGCCATCCTGTCCTAAGCACGTTAGTAACTCTATGTTCATGACTGTGTGATGCTGTATTGCTGAGGTCACAGGAAGACTAGGGATGGAAATGCACTGTGGGCTGAGACCCCACACGAGAGCTATGCTCCTGGTATAAGCATGAGCAACTGAGGTCCTCCCTAAGCTTCCTCTCTATCCCCGTCAACCACCCTGAGAGATGTTGTGGTGGGCTGGCTGCCTGGGGCTACTGTTGCTACCTACTAAATCAATCAATATTTATTGAACCTCTGCTCTGTGCCAGGTACTGTTCTAGGCCCTAGGGACGCCCAGTCACAAGGCAGACAGGGTCCTTGCCCTCATGGGACTTACATTTTAGAGGGAGGAGATAGTCAATGACTAAACAAATCACCACAAAAAAGTATCAGCTAGCATTAAATGTTATGTTGTAGGTTAATGTGACACATGACTGTGTCACTACTTTAGAATTCTGGATTATGGATGTCCTTTCTGGGGAAATGACACTTCAAACTGAAAATAGCCAGAAGGAACCAGTCTTGGGACAGGAACAGTCAGGGCAAAGAGTACTCCAGAGAGAGGGAAACCAAGTGCAAAGGCTGGCAGGCAGAAGCCAGTGTGTGTGGGGGTCACAGTCCAGTGAGGAAGCAAATGGGATGAAGTGACGCCAGGGGACTGGACAGGAGCCAGAGCACATCAAGCTTTGGAATCCAGAATGAGGGGTTCGGGTTTAATTCTGAATATGTTGTGAAGCTTTTAGAGGGGTTTAAGCAGAGGAGTGGGATGACCTGATTTATGTTTGTAAAAGATCGTTCTGGTTACTATATGAATAGATTTCAGAAAAAGGCATGGAGGCAGAGAGCCATTAACAAACTATTGCAACCAACCAGGCAGTCATCCAGGTAGGAGATGAGTTTGTCTGGGTTAAGGTTGTAGAAGTGGAGATGTGAGAATAGTTTCTGGGCATGTTTTGGGGCAGAGTCAAGAATTCGCATGAGGATTGGATGGAGAGGAAGGGAAAGGCAGCAACCGAAGAGGCCTCCTACTTGCCTGAGCAACTGGTAGCTGGAGGAGACCACAGGAAGAGAGAGTCTGGGACATGTGACCGTTTTAAAACATGTCCACAACTTCTTTGATGCTTCTTCCATGGAAAGTTGGTGGTCTTTTGACCCTCCCCTTAACTTGGAGCTCTGTGACTGCTTCCCCAGTTTAGTGAGGCAGAAATAACATTTTACCAGTTCCCGGGCCCAGGACTTCAGACACTGGCAATTTCCACTTCTTTTGCTCCCACTGAGAACTCAGTCACCACAGCCTGTGGAGCAGCCATGCAGAGAACCACGGCCCCCCACCCATAGTCCAGCTGAGCTCCCAGGTGACAGCAAGTAAAACTATGTGAGTGAGCCATGTGGGAGTGAATTCTCCAGCCCCATGTCCAGCCGCCCTAGCTAGTACTTCACAGAGCAGTTCCCATCAAGCCATACCAAAATTGCAGACTCATGAGCAAAATCAATGGTTATTGTTTTTTCCGTCACTAGGTTTTGGGATGATTTCTTATGCAATAATAAGATACTGGAAAAGGAGAGCTCAGTTTGGGCCATTTCAAGTATAAGGTACCTGTTTAGGAATCCACACTCAAGAGTTCAGGTAGGCAATTGATTCTGTGAAGCCCCAGGAGAGGTCAGTGCTGGAATATGAATTTTAACATCACAGAATAAAGACATGAGACATGAGGTAGAGGTCACCTGGGAAAAGTATGTACATAAGGACCAGGGAGCTCCGAATTCTGGGATTCCCTGTGTGGGCACAGGACCAAGACTTGGAGGAACTGCTTGTTAAGTAAACAGGAAGAGGTCAGAGCTGTTTCCCCTGCCCTCCAAGAGAGCTCTTTCTGTGGGAGGACACTGAGTGGAAGTGAAATCTGTACAAGACCTTCCTTTCAGCTGTGGATATTGTTCTTGAACCATTTACTTAAGTGCTGCATTTGTGGATTTAGCAACGTTTCCCTTGAGTTTCCAGTGCTAATAAAAGAGTGTTTGCCTTTTCACACTACCAGATGATTATCTTCACTGTGGAAAATTGCTTCCTCTGAATCATTCTCTGAGCTGTTAAATGTTTTGTCTGTAGGCATTCACTGGATTTAGGCTTGCAGGTGATTTTAAAATTGTCATGTGGTAATCTGGGATTGTGGCTGCACAGCACAAAGCAAGGACTCACTTGCCCTCAGGCAGATCTTTGTGGGGAGAGCATCAGGGCTGTTGCTGCAGGCTGCTTTAGTGGGTGGGCCCGTGTGCTGGGAAAGTGCACCCACACCAAGCCCAGACTCTATCCTCTCTTCAGTCCAAAAGGGATGCCTCCTCCTAGGGCTGTCAGCATCTCTGCTTCCTTTCACACAGCAGGGTGAGTCCTGAGAGCCTTACCCAAGCCTATATCACTCTTAGCCAGTATTTGGGAGGCAAATGGATTAGATGAGGAGTAAAGCAGTTTCCTCACCAAGTTCAGGGAGGTTTGTTATCTATGGCCTCCTTGTTTGGCAAGCCATCCTCGGAATCCAGGCCCTACGTGTGGCCACTAGGGGCCCATCCATAGGAAGTGAGAAGCCTTGGTGAGGCTTCCTTTCTGTGGCATCTTCTACTCCAGGGGACTATGAACCCAGCTTGGGTTTCCTGAGTATGTGTGGTTCCCTGCTTCCTTCTCCCTTCAGGTAGTCCTGATTGGCCTGCAGGAGACCATCCTCAAGGACCTGATGGCCCAGCAAGGCTGTTCCTGTGATAGACAGTCACAAAGACCTAACTACTCAGTGGGGATCACTTTCCAGAGAACACAGTAGGATCAAAATAGAATTATAGATTTAGAAAGTGAAACCACTCTAATTCTCAGGGAGGCTGCTTTAAAAGCTGAATTAAAGGGCACAAATTCACCTACTGCAAATAATGACAGTAACTTAGCATTATTTGGTTTTCAGAGTATCTCATTAGGGGAATGCTACTACAGATATGAGTTACTAATAATTATTTGTTATGTGTTCACTCATTTATTCATTTATCCAACATATTTCTTGCATGCTTACTAAGTACTGTAGGAGCTGGTGTGCTGTAGTGAGCAAAATAAAGTCATTGCTTTTGTGTTTAGATTCTAATGGAGAGAGACAGAAAATAAATAAATATAAATAGCAAAGTCAAGTGTGGTAACTGTTTAAAGGAAATAAAGAAGGGTAAAATGGTAGAGGATGAATAGGTGGTGAGAGGGAGTTGCTATTTTAGATAGGGTGAGCTCATCGTTGGAGTCATGAATCCAAGCTTCTCCCAGGGCACTCGCTCCTGAAGCCTACCATGGCAGTGCTGGCCCTGGCAAGTTCCCCTACGCACCCAGCAAGCACTTGACATTTCATCTCATGCCAGGCTGACCAGAGCTCCAAGTTGTGAACAAGCCATTTTGTAATTTCTAGAGCAGGCACCACCTAGTGGTTGTAAAATGGAATAGATCAGTGTCTCATTCACCCCCCTGCTTTGGAGTTTAAATGGCCACAATTCAAGGCAAAATGTTACCAGTGAGATGTTGTGGACCAGGGCTGTGACTGATTGCATGTTGTTTAATACAGCCCTCAGAATGTATCTGTTTAGATCTTTTCCTTATCTCTGCCTGGCCTAATGACTAATGACCAGGTGGGAAGTCATTGAGTTGGGTCTTTTCAAACTGTCAACAGTGCTCTGAATCATGTCCAAACACACACACACACACACACACACACACACACACACACACCTCATTCATTCATTCATTCATTCATTCATTGTTAATGGTCTAGGCACCATACTAGGTTGGATATATACTGCTGAGACAGCAGGGAAAAGGAGTTGAAAGAATGAGGGGGGAGAATCCCCATATTGTAATCTTGTGAAATCTTTTAGCACATGTAGTTCCAGGAGCTACCATACCCCTGACCTTGGACTGTCCTCTGATCCTATAGTCTACACTAGGACTGAAGGATAACTTTGAAGCACAGTTTGGAATTTTCTGTCTTTTCCCTACACAGTGCAAAAAGCAGAAATACAAACCTACCTCAAATGGGCTTTGGTGCTGGCTTTGCCTTATTTTTTTTTTTTAAATTAAAAAAGTATTTATGAGAGAGAGAGAGAGAGAGAGAGAGAGAGAGAGAGAGAGAGAGACAGAGCGTGAGCAGGGGAGGGGCAGAGAGAGAAAGACACACAGAAGCAGAAGCAGGCTCCAGGCTCTGAGCTGTCAGCACAGAGCCCAATGTGGGGCTTGAACCCACGAACCAGGAGATCATGAGCGGAAGTCAGATACTAAACCAACTGAGCCACCCAGGTGCCCCTGGCTTTGCCTTATTATACACACTTTGTGATTAAAGAAAAATTAATAGCTGCTGAGCAGGAAATGAAACTAATGGCCCAGGGAGGACAGAGCCCAGCAATGTGTAACATCAAGACAGTGTGGCAGTTAAAGAGTGTGAGCTTGTGGTAAACCCTGGCCAGGTCTTCTGTGCTCAGCCCTCCACAGCCTTGTGGGTAACTCACTGTGTGACCACAAACTGGTCATTTTCACACACTGCCAATGCAGCTGCATGTGCATGATATCTGTCCAACATATAAAACTGGATGATATAGCAGGATGGTAATGGCGACAAAGCAAGAATGTGTGTCCGGAATACCAATGTTAGATCCAGGTGACCTGGCTTGAGGAAGGGAGCTTTCAGCAGCCACAAAGGTACCCAAGCAGGAATTTTAGGTGATGTGGATGCAGGTATCAGAGGCCTGGTAAATCCTTACTGAGGACTTCCAGTAAGGAACTGATGTGACTCAAGCAGCATCAGTCATCCAATATCCCCCCTCCCAGAATTCCCAAAGTTCTCTTTATGAATGCATTCTCTCTGTTTATCTTAGTGAAAGGTTTCTCTAAGAGTGTTTCCTAATGCTCATTTTCTCCAGGACTCCTATTATGTCCTCTGCAGTACCTGGATTGGTATCCCAGCTCTGCCACTTAATAGTTGTGCGACCTTGCACAAGTCACTTTACCTCTCTGTGCCTCAGTTTCCTCATATGGTATGTACACTGACTGGATAGGGTTGTTGTGAGAATTAAATGAGTTCCTCATGGAAAACTCTTGGAATACTGCCTGGAATGTAGGAAGGGCTCAGTAAATGTTAACTATTATCATCACCATTATTTCCCACTTCTGAAGACTTGAGAAGTTAAATTCAAGATACTTTTTTTTTTTTAACATCTGCTGGGTTTATTTGAACATTCAGAAGACAAGGCAGGAAACAATAATAGGAAAGAGGATGGGGTGTAGCACCTCAGAGCACCTCCCAGAGCCAGGAGACACTTAACTTAGCTCAGTGAGTAGTCAGGGGAGGGAGGAGCCAGGGCCCTGGAGCGCCAGCCATGTCAGCACCATGGGAAAGAGGACTCAGGTGAGTCCACAAGCAAATCTCTGGCCAGCAGATGTGCCCACCTCAGGAGATGCAATGGCGGGAGGTGTCCACCATTGGTCACCTACTGGAGGGTGTGCTGGGCCCTCCAACCACCCCATGGGTCAGCCTAAATCCCAAATCTATTTTTAAATGGGTTCACACTGTGCTGGTTTCTCCCATCTCACTGAAACACAAGGTCCTTTAGTCACAGGACCTCTGAAAACCCTTATCTTCCTGAGCAGGGAAAGTGAAACGGCCTTGTCCAATCTCCTCAGACTGCTCTCAGGTCAGGAACAGCACACCGCACAGAGGCCTGTCTGTCCTTCATCTTTCCTTACTTCCAGTCTTCAGCCCCTGATGTGTGAGGACGTCAGTACATCTTGCTGAGTCCAGGATAACACATTCTCCAGAAATGTCTATCTCGAATTTGATGTTACCAACATGGCAAAGTCCAACTTCTAACTCCAGAGAGGCAGTAATCAGGGTTGTAGGCAAATCAAGCCTACAAAGAGACTCACTAGGCCAGGATGTGAACTCGGGGCCCAAAAGAAAAGAGTGAGGAGTCTGAGCCCTCACGATCAGCAGGACAAAGTCCCTGATGAGACATGAGGACACAGGCCTGGCCAACGTGGGTGTGACCACCACGCAACACGTGCCTGGGAGAGCACCGAACTCAAATGTGCTGATGGAGTATAGACAACCTGGAAAAGAGAGAATTTCATCTTTTAAAAAGTCATGAATGGGGGACAAAAAAATTCTAGTAATTATACAGAAGAGAAATCAGGCAATACCTTGATCAGATGTTCAGAATTATCATCTCCAGTAAAAGGCATAAGGACATCACATGGCTCCACATCCCCTGAAAGAACATACCATCACCTATACAGTACTCAGGCCAAGAATGCAAAGCCTCAATGTCAATACAAAGAAATTTCAGATACAAACAAAATGAAGAATACTCCATTTTTAAAAAGGGAGAGGAGTTGAAAAACAACTTGTACACCAATGAAATTTAAGACTTTTGCATTTTAAAAAATACCATCAAGAAAGTGAAAAGGCAACTCATAGAATGGGGAAAAATGTTTACAAATCATATATCTAACAAGGGTCTTGTAGCCAGAATACATAAAGAACTCTTACAGCTCAATCATAAAAAGGCAAATAACAAAAATGAGCAAAGTATCTGAACAGCTATTTTTCTAAAGAAGATAAATAAATGGCCAATAAGCACATGAAAAGATGTTTGCCATCATCAGCCATTAGGGGAATGCAAATCAAAACCACAATGAGACACGATCTCACACCCAACTAAGATAGCTACAATTAAAGGGTCAGATAATAACAAGTGTTGTTGAGGATGTGGAGACATTGGAATTCTCATACACTGCTGGCAGGGATGTAAAATAGTGTAGCCACTTTGGAAAAGTCTGTTCCTCAAAAGGTTATATATCTCTGTAAAATAATTTTTTTCTATAATATGGAAGACTGAATTCTTCAAAAATGTCAATGTCATAAAAGACAAAGCTTTGGAACTATTCCAGACGAAAGGAGGCTAAAGAAACACAGCAACCAAATACAATACCTGACCCTAGCCTGGGTCCTATATTGGAGGAAT